TTCCTTAAAAAATTAAGAATTCACCAACGAAATTTTTATATCTCGCATGCAAAGAAAGTGTCAATATTTCGTTGGACGTCTGACTTTTATGATCTCTACTAAACGTCTGATTCGATCAATCTTTTGAACATATCTGAAGATATTTCATCCCACTTTTCTTGCGACACTTATTTTAAGTGAGCTTTGTTTTTAATTGCGTGTTTTTGAACCGCTATTTCGAGTGTAGCCCACAAATTTTCTACGACATTGATGTCTGGGGACTGTGTTGGTGTATGCAACTGACATTTTTAATGAAAAAGACACCACATTTTGACGTTATGTGCAGTGTGTTTGGAGTCATCGTCATGCTGGAATATGAAATTTCCATCTAAACCTAACTTTTTAGTACTTTCTTTTAGATTATTGCGGAGCATATCCAAGTAAACTACGATTCATAATGCCATCTATAAAAACTAAATTTTCTACCCTAGTTGAAGCCATACAACCCCAAAACATGAAGGAGCCACCACCATGTTTAACTGTAGGACGTAAATGCTTTGGATCCAAAGCGGTGTTGGGCTTCCTCCATACGGTTGTACAACAGTCACTGCTGAAAATGTTGAATTTACTTTCAGAGAATATAACTTTCTTACAGAAGTTATTCATCTTCAATTGATGAGTTTTTGATACTCCAAACGCCTTTTCTGATTTTGCAAGCTGATTAATGGTATCTTTCTAGCAAATCTAGTTTTATAACCAGCTTGTCTAATTACATTGCGCACAGTTTCAACATTTGCACTTCTGCCAATGATTAAAGAAGTTTATGCAGCAAAGTTTGATTGCGCTTACTTTAGGATCCTTTCCTTCAAATTTCATTTTCAAATCAACCATCACTTACATTTTCCGGACACAAGTGTGACTTGTACCAACAATTTCAGCTATTTCAAGGTAAGATTTTTCTTTTATACAATCTTAGTACAAATTTCCTTACGTCAATACTGGTTTCTCTTCGAAGAGCAGTTTTATATTTGAAAGTGTTCATATAACAAAAAAGGGAAAAGGTTTAAGATTGCGCAATATTAGATTAAAATAGAAGGCCACATGTAAAAAATATAGCAACAATTAAAAAATATGGTACTATTCGGTTTCGATGGCCGTAAAAAATCGCCAAACTATTGTTGATGCCAGTGCTGCCAAAAATAATTGCGGCAACCCTAATGCAAGAAAGGAAGTATAATAGTTAACAACTATCTAAGATTGATGTTTTAATTTAGATGAAAGGTTAATTTCATATAATACTTTTTTATTATTATAATTTATATAAAAAAGGCTAAACATGACTGAATGCAAGCATAAGAGTAAATAACTATTTCAGATCATTATTATAATTTATATAAAAATTGCTAAACATAACTGAATGGATGCCTGCATCGCTATTTCGCTACCGAGTTATCGCTAAAGCATAATTTCATCTCATTGGTTGTTCAAACATAATTTTCTATAATGAATGATGCCTTTTCTTTGAAATTATTCTCGGTAAAGTGCAGAATCGCTCACTTATTTGTTTGCCGCTTTTCAGAAGGGTAAAAACAATTGGATTTTTGACAATTTTCTTTTACTTTTTAAGTGAAAATAGGTCGATGTGTACATAGATAAAGTCAAGGGTGTGCGCAGTGCCATTTTTGTGCAATTCTAGGATATTTTTTTAAGTGAAAATAGGTCGATATGCACATGGATACTGAGTTTGTGCAATTCTTAAGAACACGTCAAGCAGTGGGTGATTCTGCACTTTACCCAAAATTCTATTGCCGACTTTTCGTCATGGGCAATTCCCAAATTGTTAAATCCATAGGATATCAAAAAGGTATTTAAAAATGAGACTAGTATTTCAATGGCGTCTTAAGAAATATAGAACTATATAAACTTACGCAATCTGAAACCAGCGCGTACGCTAGATTTGGCGCGCTGTTAAATGCGCGTTTGCTAGATTTGGCGCTTTTGCGCATACATTTTCGCTGCAGTTTTTTTACGCCAAACAAAACAGAAGGGTACCAAAAGTATTTTTCTCTGCTGTATTCTGAATTTTTGGAGGCAAAATATGCATATGTTTATTTAAAATGCTTCTGAAATTTTTCATTTTAAGATTTTTTTCGTTGTTCTTTATTTTTACTTTAAACCAAATTGTTATGTGTAAAAATAAGTTTCCACTTCTTGGCAATGTGTTATTTATATTGAAAGTTTGATTTATCAATTAAAAGTAAGGTGTATTCTCAATTGTTTTAACCACTGTATAGCAGACGCTTTTCGAGCTCTTTCCCATACCACCTTACTCGAAGTAGAGGAATTTATCTACGACACATACGGGATTACAACATATTGAGTTAGTTTATTTGATTTTGGCAAAGCACGAAAGGGCCATCTGTATAAAAGAAAGGATACCTTCGTAGAGGGCATTCTAAGGGAATGTAACTGGTATCTAAAGTTAAGCCTTTGTATAAAATCTTGAAAGGAGAAGCCGTTGGAATTCAGAGTGCCTAATATGAAATCCACAAAAAATCTATTTAGTATCATCTTCAGTAAGAACAGAAATAGACGAATTAGCGCTTATTAACAGTATTACCTCGTTAAACGATCAGCGCTGTATTGTTTGAAATTATCAGCTTTACATTTTAAAGTTGCCATTAAAGAAAAAAGATCATCTTCGAAATATCGCGAAATTTTAAAAATTTACATCCAAAACTGCAAGGTTTTCTCCAAAATTCACCATTGTTATGTTCCTATTTTTTTTATAATGAATTTTAGGTAGATATTTAAAATTCTAAATAGCTAGCATTAATACTCGATGTTTATAACGCGACCGATATTCATGGATAATCACACTACATCTAATCATCTATAAAGGTTATGATAATGGTATGATTTACTCATTAAATCCTCTAAACCGGAATGTAAATATGTTTTTAATGGGAATCAGTATATAACTGTAAGCTATTAGGTATTTAAAATAGCATCTTAAGAAAATTTGGCATAATTACAATATTTTTTGGACATTTAAACACTGGTGACAGTATACTGCAAAAAGCATAATTTTAATGGCCGCATTTTTAACTCAAGTATTAACAAAATAAGAAAATACAATATTTTACAAGAAAATTAACTGGTAGACTTAACGATTTCTTAGCAATATTTTTTGGAATGTATGCTTAAAACAGTTTTCTTGACAAAGAGGCACCACAAAAATTTACAAATATATCGTGTTTGCATTTCGTACATGGTATTTCATTTGTTTTCCCATTGCCAACATGTTTTACAATATGTTGTCGCATATTATCAGGTAATAGTCCACAAAGAGCTAGTCCAGTAACAATAAAAAGTATACATAATATTGTTACGAAACGTACAGGCGCGGAGAAATAGCTTCCCAACAAAGCAGTTTTAGGGTTGCCACATTTGGTGAGAAATCGCCCATTTGGCGACAAAATTGACGATATACTACGGACGGATGGAGAACCTTCTGGAATGAATTCTTACCGGTTTAGCTCAGAAAGTTCTCGAACATAAGCCGAAGATATATAAACCCTGCTGGTCCGCAGTCAGGGAGTGTGCTTCATCGAGTTAGTATCGGGTGTGTGCGCCTCGCATAGAGTGCGAGTGTGTTTCATCTAGTTAGTCCGGGCGGAGACGATCGAGTTGACAGCCGGCAGCGAGTGCCGAGTGGGGCATCGAGTGCATCGAAGAATCTCTTAGTGTATCGTGATTAGTGCATCGTCGAGAGAGTGTGTTAAGCTCCGGGAACGACTGAACCGAAGAGTCGGGAGCTGTGCTCTGTGTGTCGTCGAGTGCATCGCGAGTTGTAGCCTGGAGTGTCTCGAGAGTACGTGGAGTTCCGAGAATGACCGAGCAGAGTCGGAAGCCGTACTCTGGTGCTTTGCCACGAAGCTGTCTCCACCGTGATAGCCTGATAACCTGGGTCACTGATCGTGTCAGCGTGTTTATAACAGTTCGACGACTGTAAATGTGATTTTAAAACTGTCTGATTAATATTGCTAAATAAAGTGTGTTTCGATACTTCATCAAATGTCGTCGTTATTCACTACAAATTCACACGAACGTGAAGAAAATAACGTAACAACTAGTGTCAGAAAAGAAAAACGCAACAATATGAACATTGTTATTACACCTTATTACCGAACAGTCCCCCCCCAAAAAAACATATTAAACATTAATTTCTTTTACAATTTACTGCATAATTAAAATCCAGAAACTATCAAATTACAAAAGGTGTAAACTCTCGTCTTCTGACAACGACGAGTCAAAATCCAAAAACAGTTTAAATATCAGGAACTCCCTAAAATATTTTGCTACTCCTAAAATCATTAGAGACGAAATTTAACTTAATTCACTAGGGTAGAATTTGAATAATACTGAAAGGAATGCCATCCTTAACGATGTTTATTGAAAAATTGGTTACAAGTTAGAAGAAACCTTCAAACAGGCACGTCTTCACAGGAAATACAATAGCAAGAATACAACTAAAACCGTCCAATTATATTATACTACAATATACTGAACTTGATATTAATAAAACCTGCTTTTGCCATATGAAAAAGGTGAGAGAGAAATCATGCCTGGGCTCTGCCTAAAGCGAGGGATGCCTTCGTGAGGACTTTCTAAGCAAAACTGGCTCGTATTCACGTTACTTATGAAGAAAACCACAAAAATTTATTATGCAGCCAACCCTTTTCGCTTGGTTCGGCCAGCCCTTTCACCTAATTCGTCCTTTTCGAGCAAAGGCTGAACTAACAAAACCCAACGGTCCTTAGCAATCGGCCAGTGGACGGCCTACTACAAGAAAGAGAAACTTAAAAATTTATTTTCACAGCAAAGGAGACGGTACAATACGATGGCAAAGGCTTGAAATTAACTACGCATGTCTTTAATTTTAACACTGAGCACTGAGATATTCTAAATAATGCAGTTAAACACTTATGATACCAGTTTAATTTCTGAAAAGTACTTACCTCACTGAAAATCTGTCAGCTGCAACGTAATCAAGAATGGAATAGCAGAAATGCATTATCTGTAAAAATATAATTGTGATATGATTAACTAAAGATTTCAACATCTATACATTTAACGTTTTTACTTAAAATGCAGTTACATGAGAAAGATTTAAAATAATTTTGTTTTAAAAATAAATTAGCAGCTGAAATATTCCAGTATCAAAATGAATATTAAGGAAGTTGAGATTTAACTTTGCAATTACAAGCAAGATTCTTATATAAAATATTTTCCAATGTAGTAAAAAGTATTTTACTGTACTACTCCGCTATATATATATATATATATATATATATACAACTGTTTGGTAATTAGGTCTCAACTATGCCAACGTATATACTCGTAAAAATTTTCTACACGGGAATAACTTTTGAAGACGGCTTCGCCTTCGGGAAAAGTTGGGTTTGTGTGATTGGAAACTGGCTTGTATACACGTTACACATGATAAAAACCACAAAAACGTCCGTGCAGCCAGCCCCTTCGAGGGATTCGAATCTCGAATCAAACTATCAGTGTAGATTGGCTCTAACCACGTCAGACATAGGTAAAATCATGAAAATGGCCCTGCAGGCAGCTGATTTGCCGGGAATCAAATCCAGGTCGAGCTACCAGCGATCAGCTACTTCACCATTCGTCCACTGGTGGGTGGTCTTTGAAGTTTAATCAACATAGACTATAACTTTGAAATGTGTCGTTAAGAATGATAATGAAATACCATTGGAATTTTATTCTCGAAACTTTTAATAATCTTGAAGAGTTAGGAAATGCAGCGAAAAATGCAACTAGTTTGGTTTTTATGAATATGGCAGAGCGCTCGCGAGCTATTACATCCTTGTAGGAAGTAAAGGAAGTATTGTAATCGCGAAAAATTTCGGGCGTTATATTTAAACAAAAAATATCCATTTTGACTGCTCTCGAATTCATTTCAACAATGTTTTTGCGTGACATCTATACGTACGCATAGAATAAAATGCTCTGTTTGACAAAACTGATTGACAACCGGATTAAAAATGGATTCAGAAGAGATTTTTTTCGTGACGTTTTCGTTTCGTGTGTACTTATGTATGTATGCATGTACCTTGCATAACTCAAAAACGAATCGCCTTAGAGCATTGAAATTTTGTGTATGGGACTGGTGTAACATGTAACGTGCGCCTCCCCATTTGCTTACAATCAGCCGCAACAAAAGTATATAGTATACCCAATCTGTTACTCGGTAGCTCAATTTTATTCTGACGTTGGTAAACTGTGCATTTTTTGCTTTAAAAGTGATTGATTTATGTTCCGCTTAAGGTTTTTATGCCTTTAGTAAATATGCGTGGAATAGCTGTAGAATTATCAACAGTTTGAAAGTTGTTTAATTCAGAGTAAGCCTAACGGAGCAGCCTTTTTTAATATTTGCAACTTAGAAGAATAGTAAATTAAGTCGGTTTCTGCACCGTCAGTGTCTTTTTGCCGAGCGGGAGCAAAAGTAAAATTACGGTTTTCTGCAAAGAAAAATCTGCCTTCTTGGCCACTAGCAAAATTGCTTGTTTTTTGGTGTAGAAACTAATTTTAATTACAAAAATTAGTTTTTTTAACAGTTTCTAAATGTATTTGGTGATTTACGATTTTCTGCATTTTACAATTTTCAATGAAGATGTTTTGTGTTTTACGTATTTTTGTCTTGCCGCGAAATGAGAACTGAATTAATTGAATGATAAATATATCTCTAATGAAACTCGGGGAAATAAGTTTAAATGGTTGGTTGATTGATTTTTTAATGGCACAAAACCTCGAGGGTTATTATGCGCCAGACAAATGGTGAATAAAATTCAAGATGCAAAACACACTGTATCAAGTGAATTGATGAAATGGACCTGAGATACTGATGAAGGCATGGAGAAATGACTTTGAAGTGTCCATTCACTCTAGCAACAGGTAGATCAGGATAAAAGGGAAATAACTTCAAATCATATGGTTAAAAAAGGATGTCTTTTAAAAAACTTATGAGGTTGATGTGGGGGTTTCTTCCAATTAGATGAAGGCATGGAGAAGTGACTGAGAAATGCTCTAGCAACAGGTAGAGCAGGATAATATGTAGTTCAAATCATATGGTAAAAAGAGATATCTTTTAAAAAAGATCAAAAGGTGGGATACATGAAGGACGGGCTTGGTAAAGACGCCAGTGCTGATCAGATGTCATGAGTCGGACAGGATGTTCGGCCTGTGACATTACTTTATAATGAAGATCAATGGACAACTGCTTGCGTCTGAATTCCAAAGATAGTTCAAAACAGATGACATATAAACTTTGGACTGGAGATGTTCTAAAGGCTCCACAGCAAATCCGCAGCGCTTGATGGTGGACTGGATGAAATTTCAGTAGCACAGAAGGTCTTGCTAATCCATAAATAATACAGCCATAATCCAGTTTGGAACGGATTAAAGCTCTATAAATGCGGAGCATAGAACAACGTTCTGCTCCCCATGAAGTATTGGCCAGGACTTTCAGTATGTTGAGAGCTTTAGCACATTTTTTCCTTAGATTTAAGATATGCGGAAGGAACGTGAGCTTTCTGTCAAATATAACTCCTAAGAATTTTGCTTCTGGCTCAACGCGGATCAAAGAGCCGTCAAGATGTAGCTCTAGATCAGGATGTAGATTTCTTTTGCGACAGCATTGCATGCAGATAGTCTTCTGATTAGAAAATTTAAAACCATTGTTGTTGGACCACTTTATGATTCTATTTAGAGCAATTTGTAGTTGTCTCTCAATGTATCTCATATCTTGACCTTGACAACAGATCATCAGATCATCAACATACAGGGAACCATACACTGTGGGAGGATTTAATTTTCAGGCTGAAAAGAGTGACACTGAGCACTGAACCTTGTGGTACACCTTCTTGTTGTACAAATACTTGAGAAAGCAACGAACCAATCTTGACTTGGAAAGTGCGGTTCTTCAAAAAGTTTTGAATAAAGATGGGTAAGATTACCTCACAATCCAGAATCCAGTGCTGTAAAGGTCATGAAGAGTGCCATGCCGCCAAGTTCTATCGTACCCCTTTTCCATGTCAAAGAAGATTGTCAAATTAATCTTCTTTACATAAAATGCATTGCGTACTGCGGTTTCTAAAAACAGGGCATTATCAAGTGAAGATCTTCCCTTACGGAAACCATTCTAGTAAGGCGATAGGCAATGATTAGTCTCCAGATAGTAGGTGACACGGTGATATACCATTTTTTCCATGATCTTGCAAAAGCAGCTAGTGAGCGCGATGGGGCGATAATTTAAAGGATTTTTCGGGTTCTTGCCGGGTTTTACTATAGGGATAACAAAGGCCCTGAACCAGGCAGTAGGAAAAATTTGTTCCTTCCATATCTTAATATAAAGAGCAAGAAGGACCACTAGAGATTCATAGGGCAGGTGCTTTATCATCAAATAACTTATGCCATCAGGACCGGGGCAAGTCCTATCAGTGCGAGATATTACATTTCTTAATTCAAACATGGTGAGATCTTTATTATAAGATTCTGCATTAGGATGGGAAAAGTCGATTTGAATCCTTTCCAAGCGCATCTTTGTGGGCAGAAACTCTTTTGAGTAATTGCTACTGCCAGATACAGCGGCAAATGTATCACCTAAAGCATCGGCTATTTCTTCTCTAGTGCTAATCTACTTTCCATCTTTTTCTAGAACAGAAAAGGAATAATCATTATAGAGTCCAGAGGATTTGCGGACTCTCCCAAACCTATTTGCTAGACATTGAGGAGGTAATAGTGGACACGTAGGCTGCTTATGATTTTCTCTGACTTTGCCGTCTCACTTTTCTCGCATTCGCCTTAGCTTTTTTAAAGGCAAGAAGATTTTTCAGTGTTGGATATCGGCGAAATATACGCCAAGTTTTGTTTTGCTCTCTCCAAGTTTTATGACAATCATTGTTTCACCAGGGTTTTGGGAACTTTGTCGAGGACTTCGGAATACAGAGTTCAGCAGCTTGTACAATAGTATCAGAGATCGTTTTTACTGCTGTATTAATGTCCACATCCTTGACCATTTCTTCAGTCAGCACAGAACAAGATTAAAAAAGATCCCAATCAGCTTTATCGTAAAGTAAGCTTGGCTGTCTTGAGATCTTTGATTTTCCTGTAATATTGACAATGACTGGGAAGTGGTCACTATTGTAAAGATTCTCCCCTACACTGAAAGAGCAGAAAGGTAGTAGAGATGGAGAACAAGAAACCAGATCAATTGCATGAAATGTTCTAGTTGACTGATGAAAGTAAATGTCTTCTCCATTATTAAGGAGACAAATAGAGTGATCTTCCATTAATTGTTCGATCTACCGGCCCCTTGAATTAATGTCCCTACTTCAACATAATGTACTACGGGCACTGAAGTCACCTTAAAGCAATAAAGGATCTGGGAGCTGCTCTATTATACTGTCCAACTCTCGCTGATCAATATGCTCATGTGGGGGTAAATAAATGGTGCATACGGAGATTGAAAAGGGTAAATTAATCTGAATCCGCCACAGCTTGAAAACAGGTCGTCAAAGGGAGAGCAATGTATGGGTGATTGTGAAAGGTGATAAGGCACACACCTCCACAGGCGCGATCCCCAGATGGGTTGTCATTTCTTACTGTGGTGTATCTCTGTATCTTAGCATGTCTGCTAGGTTTTAGCAAGGTTTCCTGAAGCGCAAGGCAGGCAGGTTGATGCATGTTTATTAAATCCTTGATGTTATCCAGGTTTTGACGAAAACCCCGGCAATTCCACGAAATAAATGTACCCATTATGGATGCTTGTCTTGGCGGTGTTGGTGTTTTGATTTTCGAGGCAAAAGGTTTTTCGGAAGGGATAACCCTTCTTCAACGACCATTTCGTCTGAGTCGTGTAAGCGTCCTGAACTCATGCTTGCGATGGAATTTTGACTGGGGGTCCTGGGTTTCTAATTATTTTTCTCTTTAATATCATCTCTATGTTTGTTCTCTTGGACATCCTGTTTTCCTTTAGGCGCAGTCACCGGCGTACTACTTTCAACAGGAGGTTTTTTTCCCCCGATTTTTGGTGTCTAGGATCTTCTGTCGTTGCTAGTTCTTTTTTCTGTGAGGTTTTGCGGTTTGTGTTGATACTGAGCTGAATGATTTTGTTGCGGAGGCATAAGATTTATTAGGTCTTGGCTGATTAGAGAGAACAAGTCTTTTGGCTTCTGCAAATGATATTTTTTGTGTAACTTTAATGTTTTGAATTTGTTTTTCTGTCTGCCATTTTCGGACATGATCTTGAAAAAGCTGGGATGCTTCGCCTTTACAAGTTTAATTCACACAAGGGGGCAGCAGAGCAGCCTTCCCTGGCATGGCCTACGATGGAACATCGAGCGCACGTGAGGGTAACGCGACAAGAGGTCCTTCTATGTCCAAAGCGCTGACATTGAAAGCAACGCATTGCATTCGGTATATATGGCCTGACTGAACAGTTTAGGTATCCAGCTTTTATGTTTTTAGGCAGGTTACGAGACTTGAAAGTAAGTATGACATGTTTAGTGGGAATGAGTTGACCTTCTTTCCGTATTTTGATCCTACGAGCACCACACACGTTTTGATCTGCCAACTCTTTAACAAATTCCTCTTCGGTTACTGACAGTAAATCTATTTCAGAAATTACTCCTTGGGACGAATTTAGAGTGTTATGTGGCTTAACTACAATGTTTGCTTATCCTAATTTAGTTAGTTTCAAAAGACTATTAGATTGCTTTCCAGACGCAGTTTCTATCAAAAGGTCTCCAGATCGAAGTCTCTTAATATTTTTCAGTTCTCCTACAAAAGACAAAAGATGTTTGTTTATTAGAAAGGGTGACATTTTTTTTTCAATTCTTCAGAGCTGGTTATAATTAAGAAACGTGGACAAAGTATATCTACGATTGACACCCGTGAGGACGACAAGGTGCCTCCCGTTTAACTGAAGCAGAGGCCAAAGCAGTGTGTTGGGACAGTACCTCGCCCCTCAACTACCAGGACCCTCCTTTCCAGTGACACGGGTGTCCATACACGGCAAACACGTGGGCAGTTTTCTCGCCACTCGAAGAACTAGGGACAAAGCTGTTCCAGTTTCTTATGACGAGCCCGAACCTCAGAAGAGGAAACCACATGGAAGAAGGAAAACGGGAAAAGTTGCAGTTAAGAGAAGAGGAGGCAGAAAGGAGGTGAGATCACTGGGGCTCCAGGATTGTGACACCCGATCACTGAGACGGTAATCCCCTGAAGGATCTTCACCTGTTATGCTTTAACTGGGCATGTTGGAACGGCCTTCACGCCTAGGGTGGCCCTACCAAGAGCTATGCTCCCGACGTAACTTCGCCCGTTCCACCCAGTGATACCCCCGCCACGTTGAGTACGTTTAAATGAAATGTGTATAATCGAATAGGCCGTACAAGGAAGTCACATGATATCCACATCAGATTTTGTTTCTAGGGGGAAGGTTATATTCGTGGAGGACTTTCTAAAGGAGATTGGGATATACGTTTTAAACACAAGGGAAACCAAACAGTGCAAATCAAAAGGAGTGTTAAATAGATAGTGATTTAATAATCCTGCATTGGTTTAAATGTTCGAAATGTGCAATCAGTTTTGAACGTTACATCTTCGACGGTAATACAAAAACATACATACGCAAAATACGTATGAAATTTTGCGATTTCTCCGATAAACTAATTTATTTTCGAAATCAAGTTCTTGAAAATGAAATTTGCAGTTACCTCCCAATTGCGGTCTAGGCTTTCCTCCAAATCGTGCCTGGAAATACAGAATTCCTGTTACACAATAAAACTAGAAAGCTAATAGGATACTTTATACAGATCAAGACTAATTAAAGAGAAAGTTTTCATACTTACCCGAATAAATACCAGTCATAGGCAATTGTAAAAAAAAGTATCTCTTTTGGGGTCAAGAACTCGTGGATCAAACCATCGGCCCAAAGTGACAACCGTAAAAGTGTCAAGAAAACTGGCGTCCGATCCTGACCAGCAACGCAGTGTAGAAGGACCCCTCCTCGTTTTGGGAGAGAATCTGAAAATTAGTTAAGTTATGAAGCTTATGAAAACGGTAATTGGTTTACGGAAAATTTATTCCGATAGCTTTGCTTTTAAATTAAATCCATGTTGTCTAAAAAAAAAAAAAAAAAAAAAAAAAATTCTTTTGCTTCTACTAAGTCAGAAATGCATGGAGGTTTTAAAAATTGAATACCTAAAAAATATTGAAACACTTAAATTTATTTAGCTATATCGTAAATTCTGTTGTTTTGTTCATTACGAACTCAAATTCATATTTTACTTTGTATAAACATGTTAAGCAACTGCGAATGTTTCGTTTGCTAGCTGTAAAAAAACTCGCCTTTTAAACTTCACTTGGATTATTTTTAAACATCTGTGTAAAAATAAAATGTTTTACCTATGTTTCGAATGTTAGGAGAACTGCTTGAATCGTACTTACCGGAAGTAACATAAGTCTGTAGAACCAGGAGATAATTTAGAGTTAAGTCCACTAGATGCCATTCCTGGGAAAGGAAAATAATGAATATTAACAAGTATATAATATTGTTTACTCGCCTAGAGTTGCATACAATCGAATTTTAAAGACCTAATATACAAACGAATAAAATTATTAATTTTAAATTTAAGGTATGCTCATATCGTATCAAAAGTAATACCACGACTTTGGAATTCATAGTCATTTAAAGATCGAAATAATCTCAGATTAAAACTGCAAAAGTTTAGAATCGTATTAAAAAAAGAATAGCTTTCGATTTATCAAGGCTTACTGCGAATTTATTTCATTTTTTCATAACGCCTTTCCACGGAAGTGTCAAAATGCTAAAGAGTTATAACGCTTATGGTCTCAACCTCCGAACTTAACTAGCATCTTGAAAATCCCAAAACATTGACACAAATGCTGAGGGATCATTTTTCAGTCCTTCCATTAAGGTTTCGCATATACTTCATACCGAATACGTAAGTTTACGTTATCGAAGTTTCTAACGTTGTAACTTAAAAATAAAGATATCCGACTTTTGAGAAGAAGCATATTTAAACAGTTAATCAAAACAGTTTTATTTTAGCACACGCACGCAATTAAATTTTCTTGAAGTGAACACTAAGAATTAGTGTTATATTTCAATTTCATTTCTTATCATTTATTATAAATACTCTGAAATGTTTGCAAATAGAATTACTTCTTCGTAGCCTTCAGCAATGAGAGCAGACTTAATATTTTTGCTTTTTAGTGGTTCGTGGATTTGGAGTAATTGATAACACTTTATGAAGAATCAAAACAATTCATTTGCCAATATTACACAAGACAGTTCAAAGATACGTTTACAGCCGTCGAAAAACTACGATAAACACACTGAAACAACCAGCAACAAAATCTTCAAGCTATGACGGCGAAGACAGCTTCACGGCAAAGCACTAAAGTACTGCTCCAGACTCTGTCGATCGCTCTCAAGCTAAGGCACTCTACTGAATACAAGATACTCCTAACACGTGTGCAGGTAGGTTATATATAGCTTTAACTTACCTTCGAGACCATTCTCGAGAAAACCGCTAAGAATGCGTTCTAGAATGTTCCCGCTCCGTCTATGGCATAGCGCCAGTTTTGTCGCCAAATGTCGCAAAACGGACGATTTCATGCTAAATATGGCAATTCTGCCACTTTCTGGCAACCCTAATCCCGCTTTGAGAGGAAGTTATCTTACCGCAGCTGACCATTTCACAAAAATATTAAGGTTTTAATTTTAAAACAATACACTTTGGCGTAATCAGAAAGCTCCACGTCATGCATTTCATTTTAAATTCGAACTCAAATCGCACTTTCAGCTGTATTAAGAGTGAGGTTGATTGGTTTGGTTTAATCATTTGACAAAGAACACCATGGTTAATAATTAGACACCCTCCATGGAGATCATAAGGGAAAGAGGCCTGTTTCATGTTGTATATTAAAAGATGCAGAATAGAATATGACTAGAATAAATATAGATATAATAGAAGAATCATGCGGCCAAATCATTCAACTGCAAGCAGTTTAACAGGGTTTTAAATGTGGCGCCAGTTGACTGACTACTCGGACGAAAAACAATCTTGAAATTTAGTTACGAGTTTTCCTTAATCCAAGAATGATTGTGAAGTTCCGATTCATCCTGGGTTATAATATATTCCGCTACAAGATTCCCAATTACCATTATCAAAACCCCTTTTAGTAGCTTCTGTTAATCCCTTCAACAGCAAGCACGTGGCTCTTCTTCGGCAAGTAACAACGAATCATTTACACTCAAGTACACATTTTAAATTAAGCAATCATGCGGGGGGATCCCATGCGACAATTTACGCCAAGAAATGATTAGATTTCAGATTGTGAAAAGTGATAGTGAAAGAGATTATTCGTAATTTATCAAAACTGTCGTTAAAAGACTGGAGAGAGAGAAAATAGAACATAGGGATATTACGGCATGCTCCAAAGATGTCCAAATGAATAAACAGATGGACTATGAATATGAAATTTAGTTCATTGATATATCAAACACAGTCATGAATTATTACTTGAAACCTTAAAACATCCAACCAAATGGCTGATATAGACAAAAATTAAATTAATTAAATTATTTTGAAAAGGAAGATCTGCACTGAAGTACAAACTAGTGCCTGTAATAGTGTCATTTTCAAGATTGTTACCTTGCTTCAGATAAAACGGAATCTCAATATGTGAGAGTTCTGTTTATCCTAATTTAATACTGCTAACTGTACCAATATTTAACGCGGGAATATCTGAAAATCAGCTATGACATTGCTGAAAAATTCAAATGAAACTGAAATCGGAGGATTACATGCACTTTAATTTTTATGTCCTCAGCATATATTAAACTATAGCATCAGGAGGCTCAAGTAAAACTATATTTTGTCTGTTTCTCAGAAGTTTGGCGGGAGCCATGTTGACAGCTAAGGTTTTTCTTTACTCTATTTAAATTCAGTTATTTTAGACAAAATTTAAAGTTGGCTACCAGAGGCCAGCAAACTCTGTGTTTGATCGTTTTACCCTTAAAAGAGCAGTTTTCCAATTCTATTGCTGTACAAAGGTTATCCCATATTATTTCTTCCTGTTATTTACTCAAGAAGCAATCACTACCAATTAATTGCTGTTTTGTCAGAAAAGATGTTTCATATTTTACATACAATTTTATATTGCATATAGAATTTTTCTTTAATGTTCTTTTTTTTTTAAATTTAATATTGTTTTTCGTATTGCACAGTAGTTTGCAAGCTCACCATGTTTCGGATTCGACAAACCTCTTCATGTGTTTCAGGCCAGCTTCTCCCACCTCACTGTCCTTTCTTTTACAAGGCTATCTCAACAAGCTCCATCTTTGGACTTTTATATACGTCAGGACCCCGAGGAAACTCATTGAGGAATCTGGAAAGAGCAGGAAAAGTGAATCTTCCGGCTGCGTGCCGTAATAACCAACAAAGCATCAAACTTTTAAGTCTTGATAGAAGCGTAGCTACCCAGAAAGTTTGCTTTCATTTTCGAGCTAATAAAAATTCCTCCTTCTGTAACGTAACCTGAAATGACTTCGTTGATACTCATACTCTAAATTGACAGCCTTCGCCAATGAACGTACTCGAAGAAGTACCTTGAAGAAATGAAACTATCTAGTAATCAGTGAAAATTGAGAGAAATGTGTTTATATAGACTATGTTAATGTAATGATTAAATCAAAGATTTTAGTTTGTTATCACTGCAATGTCTGAAATAATGCTAGCTCGAATAAAAAAATTGAAGGATATCATGGAAAAATTAGGATCAGATGTTCTCAGCAGATTCAAGTATTCTTAAAATTTTGCGAAAAGAACGGGAAGGTGAAATATTGCAATCTATGCAAAATTTGATTCATGTATAATTTAGCTAAAAGTACACCGTAAGTTTGATTTGTTTAAATGTACTCCTTTCGGAATTGAGATTTTTGAATATATGGATTTAATTTCTAACTAACTACATGCACATATCCCGAATAAACTAAAAAACCTGCATGAAATTAAATTGCTTACCTGGTACTTTGTAAAGTCTACTTGATAAAGTGTCATATAGTCTATGTCAGGCAATGCCACTTCAAAGCGTGGAGATACCTGAAAGTATTTAGCACTGAACTGAACTAGAAATCGTGAGAAATAGTCATAAAAATATGCGACAGTCACGTTATAATTAAAAATACTGCAATTAAGTTCAATTTTCATTATTAATTACATAGCTTAAAGAGATTCAAATTTATGGACTTATCAGTTCACTTTAGAAATTCACTTAAAACAATCTAAGCTGTCGATATTACTTTAAAGAGGTATTTCGATTAATAAAAGTTAGAAGATATGAATATATTTCATAATTCATTGGTTAGACAGGCTAAAACAACTAAGGAACTATCACCTAGTCTTCCTAGTCTGCAGAAATAAATTGATCAAGTATTTAAATAGAGCAGTACACTGGTGTGCAAAAATTAAGGACGAAGTCGAAAAATTAGCATATCAGCTGAACGAAGAAGCAGAGCGGACAGAAAGACCGATCAGGAGATTAAAGTAAGGTGATGTACGGTAGCATATGCGCAGATATGCAGGTAGACGTAATACTACGTGTCTGAGTAGTATAAAGCATGTTGTCGGTGTAAGATCAGTATTTCTGGCAAAGAGATTGCACGCCGTATAGCAGTTAAAATCACACCGAGTTGCTGCCTCAGCGAGAAATGGCGAATAATCAATCTGTTAGACGACATGTGGATGCTTTTCCCGAGGTCGAATCATTGGGAAGTTGGAGGAAGGCCGCAGTGTGACAAGTGTGGCTGCAGAGTTCGGAATTGCTCACAGCATCGTTTTCACGACTTTGGAGACAATTTCAAACTACAGGAATAGCTATCCGGGGGTTTAGTAGTGGTCATCCACGAGGAACCACACCCGCAGATGACCGGTATATTGCCTTACAGGCCAGAAGACAGCGGGAGAAATCGCTAGACACACGACACAGGCGACTGGACGACCGATATCGCGTTTTACCGTGGCCAGAAGACTGCACGGTGGTGGTCTGTTTGTACGACGCCCTGTACGGTGTGTACCTCTAACGCCTGCCCATCGGAGAAGGCGTTCTCTGTGGTGCCGCGAACACCGGAATTGGAGAGACAATGAATGGGGACGAGTACTCTTTACAGATGAGAGCAGATTCAGTCTGAGTAGCGATTCTCATCGCATACTCATCTGGAGAGAGCGGGGAAGCCGCAATCATCACTCGAACATCATTGAAAGGGATTGAAAGGTATGGAGGTGGCGGTGTTCTCGTTTGGGGAGGCATCATGCTTGGTAGTCGTAAAGACCTTCACATCTTCGACGCAGGTTCAGTCAACGGGACTCGTTATTGTAACGAGATTCTTCTTCCATATGTGCGTCTTTTTAGAGGCGCTATGGGTCCGCAGTACCTTTTCATGGACGACAATGCACCATGTCATCGCACAGTAGCTGCCGAACAGAGAGTGGGGGATATTGAAGTATGGATTGGCCGGCACGATCTCCGCATCTCAATCCCATCGAGCATGTATGGGATTTTCTAGGCAGACGCTTGGCAGCTCGTACCTTACCACCAGTAACGATTCCAGAGCTTCGATTGGCGCTGCAAGACGAATGGGCAGCAATGCCTCAACAACTCATTGCCACCCTCATTCTCAGCATGGGCAGACGCTGCGACGCTTTTTCAATAAAGCTTCTTTTTATCCCTCTGATTTCTCTTTTAGTAAGTGTTGCTTACATTACTCATGACCTTACGTATTGGGGATCTTACGGTATTAAATGTGTTGATTTGGAAAGCTTTTGTACAAAGTTATATTGAAAAACCATCTCGTCCTTAATTTTTGCACACCAGTGTAAGTTAAATGCCACATTTTTAAGCGAAATTGAAAATCTTATTTCAAATATTTAATACTCGAAGTTTAATTGAAACTTACCAAATTCCAGTCGAACATTATTAGAGGGTTTCTTGCTATATGGTAGTTGCTGAAAAAAGTGATAGCTGTAGAAAGAAAAGTAAGTGATTATAACAAAGTGCATAACTAACATTAGTAAAAACGTATCTTAGTTATTAATGATACAGAAACTATAATTGCTAAACTCAAATTCTTGAGTAAAATTACGACACGTTATTAAAATATATAAATTATTAGGAAATACTAATTTTTGTTTCAGATCAGTAATTTGAGAGTAAACTCTGGGTTATACCATATGACTCTGCGCTGAAATTGATAACACGTCGGTCTTCGCCTTGTGTGTCCCTTACTCTGCCAGCTTTTAGGATGCTGTGGTATGGTGAGGTAACACAGAAAAGTAGTTGCAAAAGCTCCGCAAATGAAGTTGAAGTTGCCGTCAATCATCAAAATTAAACTGGATTAACAGTTAAAAGAATATTTTTCGCAGTTATGGGGAATATATTATTAGAGTTTTCATGAGCCAAGCATCTATTTCTAAATCACTTCATCCAATAATCACAGTTTGGAACGAATCGGAGATCACTTAAGCCAGTGAATAATTTATATAGATTTACTGGTGACCATGAAATAACAGACTTACTTGTGTCTAAATAGGATACCAAATGGCCTTGATAAATACGCCAATACAGTTCTTGGAATTGTTCACGTCGGTTGAGTAAGGTAAAGGAAAGTTCTCTTTTGCAGTTACAATAATGCATCCCTATTAAATCAATTAAACGTTTGAGTTTCAAGCAGTTTGTTGCAGTAATAGCAATATTCACGAGGGTTTGTTAGGTTAGGTTATTTAATTATGGCAAAGCCTCGAGGGCTATCTGCCTAAGGGGAGGGATTTCGGATAAAGAGGTGCCGAGAAAAGTTTTGAAGTACTCTTTTCTATCTATTAATTATAGTATTTATTTGCAACTTAATTTATAATTGGAGGCCCGGTGGTTCAGGGGCTAGCGCATCGCGCAGCAGCACAACAGGTCCGGTGCTCGATTCCCGGGCTGGGCAAGCTCGACTCAGCTTTTCACCTCTTGATTTCCATGACTTGGGTTGATAAAATCAGTACCATGTTCGCTTGGGGACTAAACACAGGAAGTCCTGCGATTTTAAGCTGACCACTTGTTCTGGGCATATGCTTACCCGGGGCCCACGGTTAAGAAAGCAGATTTCGGGAACTGCAGCCCATTAGGGCTGCTACGCCACTGAGTAGTAGTAGTAGTAATTTATAACTGCCAACAAATTGCAAGCAACTATGAACTTATTGTTTCATTATTATATTTTCTGGATATTTTAACTTTCCTTTCAGAGCAAATGTACACACGTGGGACATTAATGGATTAGTTGCTTTTAAATATTCGAAATTTTGCATCCTGTTAATAATAAAATTAGGTTACAAGCAATTTGAAATAAATCTCAAGTGAGAACTCGCTCTAGAGCTAAAGTTATGGCAAAAAAAATACCTCTAAGTTTCTCGATTTAAAAGGTTTTTTTCATATTTGAATTCCTCTTCCATTGCAGAGCTCACAGATCAAATGGTAGAAGATGTGCATATCGATGATGCTGTTGAAGCTGTTACTAATACTATTATTCAGGCAGCTATGCTTTCCATTCCTAGAACTTCAGGAAAACTACTAAAATATTCGAAACCATGGTGGAATCGCGACTGTCATGAAGCACTGAAAAAACAGAAAAAAGCATGGGGTATTTTTCGTAGATATCCTACTCTGCGAAACCTTATAGCATTTAAAAGAGCCAAAGCAAATGCACGAAAAGTAAGAAGGCAGAGCCAAAGGGATTCCTGGATTTCCATATGTGTCATCAATAACATCCTCTACGCCTAGTAAGCGGGTTTGGGAAAGAGTTTCGAAAAGCATGCGGAATATATAAAGACCACTCACTTTCCTTTTTGGAAAAAGATGGCCGAGTGATTAGCTCCATAGAAGAAATTGCGAATACTATTGGTGAGACATTTGCTGCCGTTTCTTCCAGCAGAAATTACTCACCTGCATTTCTTTCTATCAAGCAACGCTCTGAGAAAATCCCATCGCTTTTCAACTCTTCCAACTTTGAGCCTTATAATAGAGATTTTACTATGGCTTAGAATTAAAGAGAGCTTTGTTACAGACACATAGGTCTTCTCCGGGTCTTGATGGCGTGAATTACGAAATGCTAAAGCATCTGTCCTATAAGTCACTGAATGCCCTTCTCACTCTTTACAATAGAGTGTGGAAGGAGCGTACTTTTCCCAGTGCATGGAGGAGAGCTGTTGTCATTCCTATTGCTAAGCCAGGGAAAGATCCAAGGAATCCCTCCAACTATCGGCCAATTGCCCTTACGAGTTGCCTATGCAAGCTGTTTGAAAAAATGGTAAACAGCCGCCTAGTCTACTTCTTGGAAAAGAATAATATTATATCGCCTTATCAAAGTGGTTTTCGAAAGGGGAGAACAACCGTAGATAATATGCTCCTCTTAGAGACATCCATTCGAAAAGCTTTTGTAAGAAGAAGTCACCTTGTCTCGGTATTCTTCGATATTGAGAAAGCTTATGATAAGGCATGGAGATACGGTATACTTCGGGATCTTCACGAGAGTGGCTTGCGCGGCAACCTACCAATTTTCATTCAGAATTTCTTGAATACTAGAACTTTTCAAGTAAGGATTGGCTCTGTTTTGTCGGATGTTTTTGAACAGGAAGAGGGTGTGCCTCAAGGCTGTGTGCTTAGTGTAACTCTGTTCAGCCTAAAAATAAATTCTGTATTAAAACAACTTCCTCCCACCATTTCAGGATCTTTATATGTTGATGATCTACAAATTAGCTGTCGAGGTGCGGATATGAGACATGTAGAGAGGCAGCTCCAGATCGCTTTGAACAGGATCCAGGAATGGGCAAAAAGACAAGGATTTACGTTTTCGAAACAGAAGACTGTGTGCGTGCATTTTTGTAAAAAGCGAGGTCTCCATCCTGAGCCTGAATTATACCTCAATGGGTCTGTAATTCCAGTTGCACCTGAAGTAAAATTTTTAGGGGTGATGTTCGACCGAAAATTGACTTTCCTTCCTCATGTCTTAAACTTGAGAAAAAAGTGTACCAAAGTTTTAAATATTTTAAAAGTCCTGGCGAACACCTCCTGGGGTGCAGAGCGTTGCTCCATGCTTCGCATTTACAGAGCTCTAATTCGCTCTAAACTGGACTACGGCTCAGTTGTTTACGGATCTGCCCGGTCTTCAGTGTTGTTAAAACTAGATCCTGTTCATCATCAGGCTCTGCGGATTTGTTCTGGAGCCTTCAGGACATCTCCTGTGCAGAGCCTTTATGTTGACTGTCACGAGCCATCACTCCGTTTGAGGCGTGAGGAGTTGTCTCTTTTACAGTATTTTAATATATTGTCTCAACCTGACCATCCTTGGGTTTTTTTCTTTTAAGGTTCAGGCTAAAATTAAATATGTCCAGATCGACTTTTAAAGCTCATATTTTAAACATCAATGTATTAGAAATTCTGTATACATATTCATTCCTTTTATACGTTTCTACCTTTAGACTCCTACCTTAGAAAAATTTAAGAAATCAACTTGATTTTTTTAACATTAAATTAAACGTAATTTTAAAAGTTTTATGCCAGGACCATAATATTTAGTAATTTTATACTAGCATGGATTTCGTACAACTGATCTAAGATTTCTAATTCTGACCAACAGTTTCAGAGTAATCATGCGATAAGCATAATTATATTTGGACAACAGCAATACTTGTTTTCAAATCCCATAAATGCAAGTTATTTCCTTAATACTAATAAGAATATATTCACGTCGTAAAATTCATACGTATACATAACTATTTTTGATTAATATTGCACACCAAAATCATAATTTTGATACAATAAAAAGCACGGAGTTGAAATTTTCATAACATATTAAATTTAATTATTTTTGAATGTTGTATCAGAAAAAGTGACATTTTATCCAGAGGTAATGTTTACACAGTTCAAAATTTATTAATTCTTATTATCCAGCTGAGAAAACACGTGGGCAAGCAGAAAACGTTTAGGAAATCTTAGCTGACAATGAAAGTACTTTGGAATCTTGTAAGCAAATTACTTTAATATAGGTATGTCGATAAGAACTATCCTTATCTATCATTTGTAAGTATATGTTAAAACTGCCCCATTAATAAGCTGAGATATATTGCTCCACATTTATGTTATTACAGTCGTGAATGAGTGTTCCTAATTGAGACAAAGTATTAAACGGTGATTTATAAAGTATTTCTTTAGGGTTAAATTTTCAATTAGCTTCACGAGAAAGTTTAATCGGTACTTAGGTATTTACTAATTCAGAAGTCAAACAACAAAAATCAGCGTTAATTTACAAAATTTTCACAGGACTAGTTTCGATGGTTTTACCGAACCATCATCTTCAGCTGCAAAACCGCAAATGGTTTGCAGCTGCATTTGCGGTTTTGCAGCTGAAGATGATGGTTCGGTAAAACCATCGAAACTAGTCCTGTGAAAATTTTGTAAATTAACACTGATTTTTGTTGTTTCACTTCTGAATTAGTATTTATTCGGCGTGTTATAGTGTCTTAATTATAGAAGCCCCAAACTTAGGTATTTTTCCGTCGACTATTTTCGATGAATAAAAGTTGTCACTAAATAGTGAAGTTTTGCTCCAATTATGGATATTCGCTATGTCAAACTCGTATAAGATAGCTTTTCTTTTAAACAACCCTGATCCTTAGAAAGTCCATTTATTTTTTGTGAAGGTTTTAAATTAACTGCTTTTTTCCCCTTGCATTGAGGAAATCAAGAAAGTGGTACATGTTTTCTGCAGAACAGCAAGTGTGGAGTATTTCTGAAGTTAAGGGACTAGCTGCACTGGTAAGCACACTACAAACATTTAAAGAGTAGAATTTAGCAAAATGCCGCAGTAAAAGGTACTACAGAACATCACTTAAATTCGTATCCATAATAAAAAGAAAGGTTTTGCTATTTTAAGCGACATAAGGATTTTTGGACTGCGCAGTAATTGACTCTCTTAATAATCGCCAGATTGTCTCAAAGATTGAGCTCATATTTATTAAAGTTTCTTATATTCATTGCTTGCATCTGTTGATAATCTAAATAAAGAGATCTAGAATTCTCTAACTAAAGAACAATATTTCTTCAAGCTTCAACCGGAATCGTGGGCGCAGTTTTGGCAGGATTTTCACTGTCGACAGGAAAATATGTAAATATTATATCAATATTCAGGTACGTATCTCAGCTGCTCACCTGGATAAGGCAAGTGTGCAGTTTTGAAGACTTCATAATTTTGCTTGTAAGCACTATTAGAATGAGAGCTGCAAAATAAACCAGAATTAGAACACATGAGTTGGATTCTTTACTTGATCAGAAGGGAAATCTCAAACTAACATACAATTGAGGAATATCTTTGCTTGGATCTCTTAATCTCAAGTCACAAATGTACTGCACGTCCAACTGTTGTAAGAGAGCTATGTCTTTCCGCATCTGAGAAATGAATTTTATGTTTCTGCAAGAAATAGCAGTATAAATTAGATGAAAATTTTTAAGATTCAGTTAAAAAACACGCATTTATGGTGAAATTAAAATTTAATCAGAACAGCAGCCCTGATATCAATTAAGTAGAACTATTGATTATGAAGATTATCAGACAAATTCCTTTTCTTCCAAGCGCATTAACGTCTACAAAGTGTGAGGGGAATGAAAATTTTACGCTGCAACCAACCTACATTAAAAATGTACGTACCAGCATCTATGGAAAACAAACTATTCGAATTTTGAATGAAGAAGTAGACTGGAATTGAAATCGCTAACTAAAGAAGACATTCTGCAAATGTGAAAGGCATTAAGGAAACAGTTAATCTACCAATGTTTCATCACACTGACGTTGACAGACATTCTAATAAGTGTACAACTACGGCATTTATATATTAAAAGACATTTTGTAATTTTTTTAGAGTCACAATTTAGAACAAAACGAGACGATTTATGTACTTAACAATTTGCAACACAGAAACAATATACTCATTGAAAGCCGGGTTTGACATATAGAGTAATATATAGTAATGTTGAAGAAAGAGCTGGGACTTTTATAAATATAAAAAAAATTAACAAATATAACAAAAATATTTAATTTTTTATTTGGCAGCACAAAAATAAGTCATTTCTAAAATACTCATTAGAGGTGTCGAGTTGCTCAAAACCGTGGCACCAGTAGCAACAAAATATTGCGCTTTAGATACGCAGCGTCTGTTCAGAAACACCAATGGATACAGTGTTCCTAAATAAACACCTTCTCATTACTACAGACGGCAGTGAACCAATTTGAAAAGTTACTTACGCTAGGGTTTGGTTCGGTAGATTATGACAAAGCATACTAGGGCAATCTGCCTAATGGGAAGGATGCCAGAATTTTTTAAGGCAAACTGGCTAGTATGCACGTTACACATAAGAAACATTACAAAAACTACCACGCGGCCAGTGTCTTCGCTTGGAATCGAACCAAGGTCAGAACCACCAGTGTTCAACGATTTTACCTCTCGGCTGTTGGTGGGCCTGCTTATACAAGAAGAAAGCACAGAACGATTATCCTTCACCAACAAAATGGTACAAAATGTAGTAGTGTTCCATCTTTAGCATATGGGTGTCAATCTTGCCGCGCGCCGATGCAGAAATATAACTTAATTCATGAATTTTGTAGAATGAGCAAGTAAAATATTTGATAAGATTTTCCATGGCCACTGCTATACGGGGAAATTACGTAAAATATGTTGAGTTTCGTTAATAAAATGTTTTGTGCTGTTAGGTTAATTATCTTGGACTAATCTATATTAAAAACTACCGACAAACCCAAACCGAGAGAGTTTTGTAAATTTGCAAGCTCTACTGTTGGTTCGTGTTCATTGTTTGCGACTGACGATTTCGTGTTCACTTAAGTGACAAAGTGAACAAGCGTTGGGACTGAGACAGATCTGGAATTATTACATTATATAAAAGCTAAATTAAGACTATTTGCCTATTGAGGGAAACTACGAAAGTCTACCACGTAGTCAAACTTTTCACCTAGGATCGAACCTGGGTTGAATTCCAATTGTTCAGCAGTTTTTACCATTCTGACTGTTGGAGGGCAAAAGACAAAGGGAAACTGGTTCGTATTTACGCTACACAAGGGAAAACCAAACCTCCCATTCTTGCCGACCTGCCCAGAGTTTTCAAAGCCCCTCAAAATACTCGTGTTCAGAGGTTTTTATCATTCAGCCGTTGTGAGCTTTCATTTCTGAAACTTTATTCGATTCAGAATTTGAACCCAGGTTGAACTACTAGTGTTCGACCATTAGAGAGCGTTTTAGAACACGGAACATCTACACACTAGAACATGATTCTCTGGAAATAAAATTAATATTTCTATTCATCGCAGATTCACAGCACTTGGCATACCGATAGGCTAAAAGGTTCAACTTCGACATGTCGGAATGGCTGATGCTGAGGTGGAAGAAGTATCTGATATTTTGCAGCAAACGTGATGACGTAAACTTAGATACATGTGAGAACATCTTAAACACCATTTTCTAAAATGCTTGAATTCTCGATTCGGATAATGAGGTATGTTTTGGACATCGTAAGATCACCGATCTAACGCCTTGCGATATTTTCTTGCTGATGGCATGTGAAAATCTTCCCTACCTCGGTACGACAGCTAAAGCACCGGATAGACGATGTGAAAGACTCGGTTGATGGTGAAAGTCTAGGAAAAAAAACTAAATCATTGGTAAACTTCTACAGAGCCAAGGAAAAATCTAAGAAGATCCACAGAAACTAGTAGAGTTAACTTCTCCAGTTATATTTGTCAAATTCATCACCTCGAAAAGTTGTGATGAATTATGCTTCCCGCCTACTTCAAAATTCGCTGTTAGAGCAAAATGATAAAAACAATGATCAAGAATATGTTATAAATTTTCACTTTATGTGAATGGATATTAATCAAATAGTACACATAATTATATTAAGTTCAAAGATGAATTTCAGTTTAAGTAAGCAGCTTACGAAAACGGATTGATACATTAAAATTCTACTTGGATTTGTCAAACTACATTGACGAGCCGAAACATTATGACCGAAACATGTGATTAAATGGGAATGGTA